CTGGGCTGCTGCCTGGAGGAAATGAGTACCTTTATCACTTGACTTTCTGTAATGAAAATGACATTGACGATGATGATGATAGCGATAGTGATAGTGCTGATGATAACATTACTGAAGACTCTCAAAGCACTTGCTGTGTGCCAAGCCCTGTTGTAAGCACCATTCACATGTGAGTTCATTTTCATTCTCTCATAAGCCTTTGGAAAGGCATATCATTGTAGCCACTTTGCAGATGGGGAACCAGGGTAAACAGAGGTAAAAAAAATCTCAAAGTCATGAAATAGCAGAGTAAGGTTGGATACAGTCTATGTGCTTAAGGCCACCAGCCTGGCTGTGACTTGGGCTTTTCTGGGTCATGATGGGGTGCAAACACCAGAGGCCCATGGACTCAGGCGAGCGCCCCACAGTAGTAAAGTGCTACCTTGGGGGCCCTCACAGCTTCTGTGACAAGGTCCTGAGATCAAAGACTTGGGTCTTGATTGGCACTTCATCTTTGTCTCCTGGACTTGAATTCTTTGGGTCTTTGCAACTCCCTCCAATTTGCTACCCCTTCCTCCAACCCTACCACCAAGGGATCTGAACTAAACCATATGGTCCAATTAGGGTCTTCGCTTTGGAAAAGGAAAACTGTTGCCCAGAGTTGGAATTGTGCTGGTTCTGCTGCCCTCTGGTGTTTGGCTGGGAGATGGCCAGAACAGCTCTGAGTGCCAGTGAGGCCAACAAGCTTCAGTTTGTGGAATAGAATGTTGTTTCTCAGTGAGATGAGAAAGGTGAAGGGCAGGGATGATGCTTCTGGGAGCTGAACAAACGTAGTGACTGTACTTCTGGATAGATAAGAGGCTGATACATTGAAATGGAATTGTATTTTCATGCATCCTCTGGCCAGTCTTTTGGATTCCACAGGGCTTGGAATATTAAACCCAAAGGGGATGGCAGCCACCAATGAACTCAACAACCCTCTGTTGTAGAGGGGAACCTGAGACCCAAGGTTTGAAATCCTGTTAATACAAAAGTTGAACTAAGAACCTGCTTCCTGATTCCAACTTCCATTCTTTCCTTCCTCTTTTCCCTTGCTTTAAACATTTTTATCTTCCTCGTGAAATTCTTGTCATCCTAATGGTTAATATTGATCAAGCATTTATTGTGGGTCAGTCATTGTGCTAATATGTGTCACATTTGCTAAAGCATTTAATTCACCAATAATACGGAAATATCATTTTCATCCATTTTGTGGATAAGGAAAATAAGGCTCTGAAAGATAAAGACTTGCTCAGTTATACAACAAAACAAATGACAGACTTTTTAGATTTGCTAGAATCCTTTCTGTTCCATGTACTATGATGAACTAAGGGAAGAATCAGCATCAGAATAAGAAAATATCTTTATTCTATATATCACAGCTGAACAATGATAGTATTTAGCATAGGCTGATACAGTTCTTAGCAAATCACACATATTAACTCATTTAACTTCATATTCTTATCAACTAAGTCATTTGTAGTACTAATATCACCACCTTACAGATTGGAAAATGAAAATACAGAGACAAAAATACCCGAGTTTCACAGGTCATAAGTGCAGAGAAAGGGATTCAAGTCCAGGCTGCCTGGCTCTGTTGCTGGATTCTTAGCCGTCACTAGAGTGACTATCCTTGAGACAGGCAGGAGACCAGCTCCAGACGAGGGACAGACTAACCTAGATTCCCATCGAGCTTGACAAGACAGGGTTAAGTTACCAGGATTTCCTCCCTTGAGTCTGGAGGATGTCATATTAAACAGCATCCCTTGAGTAGTATGAAAACAAGAGATGGGGCAGGTGTTTGGTGCAACCAGTAAGATACTCCCTGCCAATGCATCCAGGAGAGCAGCAAATGATGGCCCAACCCCCTGCTACTCATGTGGGAGACCCACATGCAGTCCGAGGTTGCTGGCTCTTGGCTTCATCCTGTCCCAGTTTCAGTCATTACAGTCATTGGGGAATGAACCAGTGGATGGAAGATGTCTTTCTTTCTCTATTGCTCCTTCGTCTCTGTCAGCCTACCTTTCGAAGAAATAAAAATAAATCTTTAAATAAAAGGTGTTGCTTAGGACACCCACATTCTGAATTGGAGTGCCTGGATTCAAGTCTCAGCTCTGCTTGCAATTCCAGCTCCCTGCGAATGCACATCCTGGGAGGCAGCTGTAGTTGGGTTCTTTATATTCCCAAGACAGACCTGGACTTAGTTTCAGATTCCTGGCATTCTCCTGAGTCAGCCCTGGATATTGCAGGCATTTGGGAAATAAAATAGCAGGTGGGAGGTCTCTCTTTGTCTCTCTGCCTTTCAAGTAAAATGAAAATGAAGCAAACAAACAAACAAAACAAGAGTTGGCAAGTATTGCCAAGGGTGTGGACAAGAGGGAACCTTTGTACACTATTGCTGGGAATGTAAGATGGTACACCCATTATGGAAAACAGGTTGGTGAGTCCTCAAAAAATTAGCAGAAGAAGAATGACCATAGAATCCAGAAATACCACTTTAATATATAAATCCAAAGGATATGAAATCAGTATTTTAAAGAGATGTATACAGTCTCATGCTCCTAGCATTATTCACAACATCCAAGACATGAAGGCAACCTAAATGTCCATCAGTAGATGAATGGATAAAGGAAATTCTCTCTCTCTCTCTCTCTCTCTCTCTCTCCATCCATCCATCCACAATGGAATGCTATTCAGCCAGAAGAAAGCAAGCAACCCTGCCATTTACAGTTACTTCAATGAACCTAGAGGGAGTTATGTTAAGTGACTGGTGACAGCAGAGGTTCACAGAGCAAGGCAAAGGCTGGACTCAAGGACAAAGGGGAGCTTGGGGAGGAGTTTAGGTGATGAAATGGGAAGCCAGGCCCAAAGAGGTAGATGCAGCATAATGCTGAGTCCTCCAGGCCCCAAAGTCTGGGCAGCTGGGACCAGAGAGATGAGACTTATGCTCCCTGTTCCTCACTTTCCTTAACTGTAAAGTGGGTAAGAATGCCTGCCTTCTGAGGCTGCTGGGGGGTTGAAGGAGGTAGCACATGTGAAGTGTGTAGCAGAGTACCTGGCACATAGGTGCCCTGTGAGCAGTAGAAGGAACTATTCCCACAACATCTGTTAGTCCCACTCACAGGGCATGCTTTTGAGTACTGAGCATGCTTCTGGGGTGTGGAAAACTCTGGGTGGGAAATGGCAAGGAGCCTGCTGGGCTCCAGAACTGGCCCTAACCCATGAGGCAGAACCTTTCCATGAGCGGCAGGTTGGGATGGTGGTCAGGACCGCAGACCAGAGTCAGCCAGATCCAAATCTGAATCTGAGTCCTGACCCCACTGTTGATTACCAGTGTGTATATCTGGGTCTGCCTTCTCATTGCTCTGTGCCTCAGTTTCTTCTTGTGCAATATGGGGATGCCAGTGGTACTCACTGCACAGGTAAAGTATTTAGAATTGCACTATGTTGGCTTTAATTATTAACGTGGACAGTGGAGAGCTCAGCACCTCAGTTCCACATAAACTCCAACGAGGCGATTATGACCACTATAGATAAGCTCTCCTTGCTTTGGTTGAATTCCCAAGGTCGCGTTTAGCTCATGGATGGCACTTCCCATTATTGACCACTAGATGGCACACATGTTCTTTCTTGTCCCATGTGGTCCCGTCAGACTCAGAGGTCAACAGGCCTGAGATGGAAAGCTATCTTTCCTGCTTTCTCCTTTACTTCTTACATGGTCCTCAGATTAAAGAAGCTACTTCACATAAGTCCTAAGCACAGGACCTGGTACATGGTAAGGCTTCAAAAAACCATTTGCTATCCTTCCTTTCATTGTCAATTCTGCTTTACAGAGGAAGGATCGAGGCAGGCAGGGTAAGGAGGCAGGCAGGGCTCGGATGTCTAAGCCTGGCCTGGTGCTGATTGCAAGTTCAGCCTCTTTCTCCCTGAACCTCATTTAGAGGAAGCATCGGATACCCTGGGCACATATCAAGGCCCCACTGTGTTAATCTTAGTCCTGTGGCTTCCCTCTGGCTCTGCCTCTCTCTCACTCCCTGTGTGATCCTAAACTAGTTGTTTAGTCTGCCAGAGCCTGTGTCTCATCTGTATAATAGGGACTATAACACCTTTCTTATTTGGGGGGTATTTCAGGAACAGCAACTCTATGAGAGTAGACACTCTGTGGATGGTCTTTACTGTTGTTGATACCCCACCTGTCAGCTCAACTGGAGGATGAATTTCTTAGCTCCTCCCCTGTCCCTTCCTTTCCTCTAGAGCTACAGCATACCCTCATGGGCCCACATCCAGTACTTTCTGATCTCTATTCATTTCTGGGGTAGTTCCACCCCAGCGTATCTTCTTCCCTGGAAGCTGTGGGGATCTGGATGCTGTCTGCTCCCTCTGGGGTCCGTGTCTCTGCTGGAGCTTGTCACCATGGACCATGTGACTCAGGCCCCATCTCCTCCCTGACTGTGCTGCCTCAGAAACCAGTCCACAGATTCTTCAGGCCCTGCAAGACACCTTAAGCCCATAAACTATCTGGCTTCAGCTGTGGGTTTCTCACTGGCTGTGGGATACAGAGGCTTGTCCTGGGTGCCTGGGACAGTGGGGAGGGAGACACAATATGAAGACAGGGTCTCAAAGGTGCATTCTTGTTCACAACAGAACAGCTCTGGTTCCATCTAATTTGGATTTGGGGGCAACATAAAACATCCTGGTGCTAAAGGAAACCATTGAGGACAATGCTTGTGCTGTGGGGAGGGAGAGTTTTGAAATTAAAGTGGGAGGGAACCTTCAGGAAAGAGAATATGTTGGGGAATGTATTTTGAATTTAGTTTCCAAGGAAAATGGAGTTTACCTTTTCAATTACAGTGATTTGGGGGTTGTGTAGAACCCTGTTTCCTAGCACCCATCATTTGGCCAAGTGAGCCTGATCCTGTGTTTCTGAGCTCAGTGGGGCCTGGGGCCCTGTCACTCAAGATTTTGCCCTTTCTGTGTTGTAGTGCCCTGGTTCCCAAGGACCATTCAGGAGCTGGACAGATTCGCCAACCAGATCCTCAGCTATGGAGCAGAGCTGGATGCAGACCACCCTGTGAGTCCACTGCCCTTAGAATGAAGCTGTTCCTGTTCTTCCCCTCTCTCCTCACTCCCCACCCCCTTCCTTGCCTCCACACCCTGTCTTGGAAAAATATGTTTCTTTACTTTGTCAACAAATGTTTATTGAGTTTCTACTTCAGTCAGGGCTGGGAGGTCAAAGATGAACAAGACGCCATCATCATCACCATTACCATGGCCACAGTTATTGTTGGAGCAAATGTGATCACTGTCCAGAAACCATTGGCTCTCTATGGTGCATGAACACACACATATGATCTTTATTTCTACCTCTGTTCACTTTATAAAAGCAACAATCAAGGGCTTGGGAAACACTAAACTCTACTAGCATCTCCGCCCCCTGCAGGGGGCAGTGGGGACCTGTGACGCTGAAATTGGATCTTTACATCTGAGTGGAAGATGCTGGTGAGACAAGGAAAGGGGCAGCATTGTGTTTACCAGAACACAAAATGCAAAGACTCAGAGTCCTGAAAGTATCAGAAATATAGTGGGAGTGGCTGCTTGAGGTGGGAGGAATGAGGATGAGATTTGAAGCTGGGGTCTGGGTTCAAAAGTCTGGTAGAGCAGAAAGAACTGGACTGTGCCCCGTGTCCAGAGCAGCAGGCCCTCAGTGGTTCTGAGTGGAGGACAGGAGGGGGCTTTCCATCCCTGCCTGTTCCCTGCAGGGGCCCTGAGCAGGAGCGGCTCTGGTGGTTCTCATGCAGCCCTTGGGTGGGGATTGCTGCTTCCACGCTGCCTCTCCTTTATTCTCTGCTGGGCCAATGTGACTCCACGCCTGTGATTTGGAAGCTGTTCACACTAGCAAGGGTTTCAGCGTGACCCAGGAAGCATCTGCGTTTCCTTGGGAGCCTGCTTTCTTCTCTGTGGAGGAGGAGCCTGCCTCCCCCACAGGGCCCTTTTCAGTAAGCAAAGTGGAGGCTTCCACCTCGCAGCCAGCACAGAGATGCCATGGGCTCAATGGTCCTTCCTAAGGCCCTGTGCTTAACGCTGGTCCCTGAGAGTCTTAACCCTGGGCTCACAGTGCAGGAAGACAAAGGCCTCGGTGGTGGCAGAGTTCCAGACCCCTCACAGCCACTGGGGGCCGAGGGGGGCTGGCCTTTGAGAATGTGAACAACTGGTGCTTGTTCTTATTCAAATCCTAAACCCCTGAGAGTGAAAATCGAGAAAAGCAAGAGGAAGAAAATGAAGATGATTCATAATTTCAGCTCTTTTTGTTTTTTGACCTCTACCATTGTGCAATTTTTAGTAATAAGAAAATGTTTCATAAACAAACAGAAGTGAAGTCCTTTCCATCCTCCAGACTTTTAACAAACAAAAAACACCTATTACATCATTCTCTCCTAAAATAATCAATACTAATATTTGGGCAAGCCACTCTTTTTCCACTCCCCTTTCTTTCTCGCTCCATAAGTTATTCTATAACTTACTACCTGGCCATGCCATAGCTTGCTAACTAGCAATACCATAACACACAAACCAGCCCCCAGCAGCATGGCTACAGGAGCCTTCAAGGCTTTTGTGGCTGCAGTAGCCCTGATGTGAACATGCTGGCCCATGCATCTTCGTGTAAACTTTTCACAACATCAGTTGTAAAGTTAAATTATTCTTAAACCAAGGAGAGAAATTTCTTTAAGTCTCCTAATACATGTTACTTAGGCACTCTCTCTGCCAAAAACCTGAAGACGTGCTGACTCGGCTCCACTTTTCCATATATGATGCTGTCAATTCCCACAGAGCCCAGGATGGCAAAGCCTGCTGCTCCATGGGGCCCCTTGGCAGGTCCCTTTCTGCTGCCCTAGGTGTCAGCCATATTAGCACAGCAGTCCCAAAGATGTCTTTTCTCAGAAAAGCTCTCTGTGGATTTGACCCAGCCCTCTCCCACCACACCCTGTCTCCTCCCATGGGTCTTCACCCCCTACTTATTTGGGGCAGTGAGGAGATGAAGCCAACAGAGAGGCAGACATTTCCTCCCCTTCAGTCTCTGTGTCCTTGCAGAGCAGCCAGATTGACCTTAAAATCCTCTGGAATTTGTTTCTCTATGCAAGCCCAGCCCAATCCTTGGCTCCCTGGCCTCAGTGTCATGAATTTTTTCATAAAAATACAACTTATCAGGTACACAGTCCCGAAGAGGAGGCACTAGGCTCTCTCTGTTCCTTGGTTTTCTCATCAGATCCTGGGAACCTGGGCCAAGGACAAAGCAAACCCTCTAGGGTGCTTCCCCACAGCCCTGCAGGTCCCACATGCCTGGCCTCAGTGTGGGAACTGCAAGCAGACACCAGTCCGAGGAGCGAAGGGGGTGTTCTTCCCGAAAGGAGCCTCTGTTCTTCTCTGTCCCTGTGTGTTCTGTATGATCTCTTCATCCCCTGACCTCCTGCCCTTGGCAGGAAGCACCGATATTTGACCCAACATCTCACATTAGGGCCTTCAAAACAGCCACGTTCAGAAATCGGGAAAAGAAAGGATTGTTCCCGAAATGCAGCGTCAGGGGCATCTGCCTCTCAGCTTTGGCTCAGTGGGAAAGTTAAACAGGGCACTCTGCTTCCCCCTGTCCGTCCAGCCCCCATGCTTCGGTTGCCAGTCTCTCTCTCCTTCCTTTATGCAGCCAGTGGCATGACTGTGCCAGGCATGATGCTAAAAGCATGGCGTGCATTTTTTAACTTCTGTGTCCTCACCACTCTGGGAGGGCTGTGCTTTTCCTTTTCAGATGAGAAGTCTCAGAAGGAGTGGGTCACGGGGTCTGCTGTGGATGTGAACTGTTCCAGGCTGTGTATGGGAAAGGGGGATGAAGTGATAAACGACGCGCGGTCCCTGCCCTCCCGGTGCTTCCAGGTGTAGAGGAGCAGGGGACGGGCCGTCCACCCTTCTTTATTGATGCCAGAGGAAACTCGCATGGCGAGCAGAGCCTTGGCAGTCAGAATCCAGCTGGCTCAGTTTACGTCCACTTCCAAAACAGGCCCCCCGTTCTCTGACCCTCTCCAGCCTCTGTCCATGTAGTTCCCTTTACCTAATACGCCTTTTCTCAACATGTCCTCTGTTCTTTCCCCTATTAGCAAATCTATTCATCTTTTAAGGCCCAACACCTGTGTCCTGCCTCCCTGTCTCCTCCCAGGGCCTAAGCCCTTCCACCTTATTGCTACAGGAAACCCGTGTGCATGTTTTAGTAACAGGAACTGTGTGCATATTTCAGTGATGTTCATGATTGCCTTGCATTTTACATTTTGGGTTCAGAGATCAGATCACAACAAATTCACTTCCTCATGATTTGTAACCTCATAGGTGGTACAAGAGCATACAGGAGTAAAAAGGCCTTAGGTACATTTGCAAAGCAATCTGTGACGAAAATCCCATAGTAAAAGAGAACTACTGCATTCTACAACTCCATCTTAAGCATATACAAATCACATTATCTCATTTGATGCTTTGAAAAGTACTGCAAAAATGAAATCCATTCAACCTAATGTTACCTCATACTTGTGTGTAAAACCTCTTTTTTCCCACACAAAATACTTGGCACCATTCTTTTGAATGTTAATGCTCCATAGATACAGTGTAGGAATTAGTTAACTGATAACTCAGAAAGGTACACACCCCCGAGGTTTAATGAGTCAGCATATGCTGTCAGCTCTAAGATAACTGTGGACTGGAATGGTTAGAGATGACTTCTAGAAACTGGGAGATCTGGGTTGAGTCCTATAGCAGTCAGGGTTGATGAGTGTTTATTAAACAGTTCCCAGAGCTCTGTGACCTAACCCAGTGAAAGTTTACTTCCAGTGTTTGGGTCAGTAGGGAAACTGTTCTACTCAGTCTTTCAGAGATCAGCATCTTAGCAATCTCAAGGCTGTACCCTCCTCCAGCTCCTGGGACGCCTCCTTCATTTTCCCAGTGCCTGGGAGAAGAGAGAGTGAGAATTTCTCCTCAGAAGTTAAGATGGGCCATGTCTGCAGGTGACTCACCTCACATCACTTCACTCCAGTTCCACTAAGGGGAACACTTCTTACTGCCAAGGAGAATGAGGAAGACATTTTAGCAATGTTCTCTGAAAGGATGCAGGGAATATTTGGGGGAACCCCAGCAGTCTCTGCCACACAGACCTTAATCCCAGATATCCTGGTCCTGTTTACTTGGCACCTGACCTCAAGTCCAAGGTGAAGATCTGTACCGGGGGAGTTTTCTGGTGAATAAAATATCAGCCAACCCAATTTTCCTTCTTATGTATTTTTGGTTCTTGAGCCAAGAATCTCAAGTGGCTTTTTAATTTTTCAAGGTGTGGTATTGACACTCCTAATTCTTCAGAAAATTCTCCAAGTACAGGGAAGGCTACATTTTACAATAGATCTCTCCTTCCCACCCACCCAAGCTTCTCCCCAAGAGGACCCCATCAGAGTCCATTCCAAAGATCAGTCAGCCAGTTGAGTCATCAAAGACTTTTCTCACTCTTAATAAGTTGTTCTACATAAACATAATTCTTAAATTATGTTTAATTTTTAAATTATGTTTAAAACATGATTGTGATGCAGGCATAGATGCTGGTTAATGTCTCAAGTGATTGGCACCCTGCCATCCACATGGGAGACCTAGATTGGGTTCCTGAATCCTATTTCTGGCCCTGGCCCAGCCCTGGCCTTGCAAGGATTTGGGGAGAGAAATGGGGGTGGGAACACTCTTGTCTGTTTGTCCCTCTGTCTTTCAAATAAGTAAATAAAGCTTAAAAAATTGAAAACCAAACATAATTGTCATATAGATATATAGTGAACATGTCAAAGATACACTTGATTCATTAAAGAGGGATGATGACATTAATAAGGGACAGTGAGGCAAGATGAAAAGGTGGGTGCAAAGAGAGATACACAAAATAAAATAGACATGATCATTGAGAAATCGAATGCTGGAACACAGCCACAAAGATGGATGCACAAATGATTAATATCCCATGAAGCAAAGAAACCATAAATTTGAGTGATATCTGTTCTACAAAAC